GCCTCCTGAGTAGCTGGGATTACAGGCACGCGCCACCATGCCCAGCTAATTTTTTGTATTTTTAGTAGAGACGGGGTTTCACCGCGCTGACCAGGATGGTCTCGATCTCTTGACCTCGTGATCCACCCGCCTCGGCCTCCCAAAGTGCTGGGATTACAGGCTTGAGCCACCGCGCCCGGCAGGAATTACTGCCTTTAAAACCTGTTTTTCCAACGTAGTCATTTTCCTGAGAGCTGCTGATGTCAGCACCTTCTCAACTACCTTTAATAAACTTTGAACCTCAGTAGACCAACAAGTAAAATACACCCACGTCTCCTGAAGCCAACTGACCTTCTTCCTATATATTTTTGCAAGCCATACTTTCCCTCTTTCTAATAGTGAAAAACTACCTCCTTTCTTTGCCTCTTAAGAATCTTGGCTTCTGCAGGAACATTTACACATTTGCAGCATTTCTCAAAATGCAGCACGAACAGCTTTTCAGTTTCAGAAGTTCATACGCACTAACGCTAACTGCTGGTTTAATCTTCAAGTGGGAAATTGATCCTCTTATGGTGCCCCAGCTACATTTTACAAGGAGTAGGTACTGGGGAAATTCTCTGTTTAATGTAAAGCTTACCTCGAGGTGAGTGATTTTGTTATCTTCTTTCTTCAGATGGGAAGAAGCAACCTCAAGTACTTAAGAGTATTCTGACTCTTTTCTGCTTACCACGTTTTCACCACCTGTATTAGTCTCTCAGCCACAAGCCCGATATAGGAAGTAGCAAAGGGAATATTGTTAGGTATGAATGTGGAAGCTGAGTGGCCAGTACAATACACTACATTACAACTCAGGAGTTCCTGTGGGAGTCATTAACATGTCGCCAGGTGCTCTCCCCTCTCTTTTGTTCTCTCTCCCTCTGTCTCATTTTTTCTCTGTTCCCTCTCATACATACATGCAGAGGCACCAGTGCACTCAGGACGTACCCTTTCCTTTAGAGGAAGCACATGAGACAGTGCATTTTCCCCTTTGGCTCAGGAAGAAAATGTTTTGTTAAACCACACCGATGACTGTGCAGTCTTCCTCTTGACCAAAGTCACTTTGCCTGCAATCAGCTAGGAAATGAAACTTAAATAAATAAAAGAGTAACCATGAAAAATTTAAAGCTCTGTGCCTATTGTCAGAGCAGCTCTCAGAGACTGTATAGGTTTATAGGTGTATTTTCTGTTTATTTTAATTAATTAATTAATTCATTGAGACAGTTTTGCTCTTGTTGCTCAGGCTAGAGGGCAATGGCGAGATCTTGGCTCACTGCAACTTCCGCCTCCCGGGTTCAAGTGATTCTTCTGCCTCAGCCTCCCAAGTGGCTGGGACTACAGGCATCTGCCACCACATCCAGCTAATTTTGTATTTTTGGTAGAGATGGGTTTTCACCATGTTGGCCAGGCTGGTCTCGAACTCCTGACCTCAGGTGATCTGCCAGCCTCAGTCTCCCAAGTGCTAGGACTACAGACATGAGCCACCGTGCCTGGCCTAGTTTTTACCAGTTTTTATTGAGGCACAATCCCAACCTCCGCTTCCTGGGTTCAAGAGATTCTCCTGCCTCAGCCTCCTGAGTAGCTGGAAATACAGGTTCCACCACCACGCCCAGCTAATTTCTTTTGTATTTTTAGTAGAGATGGGGTCTCTACTAAAAATGTTGGCCAGGCTGGTCTCAAACTCCCGACCTCAGGTGATCTACCCGCCTTGGCCTCCCAAAGTGCTGGGATTACTGGCATGAGCTACTGCACCCAGCCCAAAGTGACTCTTTAAGCCTTATAGATAACAAGCTGGACATTTTAATATGATGTTTTGAATTCAATATACATTTTCATGTTTTCTACTCAACTGGTTTTTATCTAAAAATGAAGAGTATGGGTCATATAGGAGAAGGGTGTGACAGTCCAATGGGGAACAGAAGGTGTGTTAGGCAGAGCAATAAAGGTGATATTAATAATGACATTTATTTCATTTATTTTTCATTGAACATTTATTCTCTGCCAGGTGTTATATATTTCACATATACCACCTCATTTTGTCCTTTACAACAACTTCATGAGATGAATATTATAACAAGAATCTTTATGTAGGTGAATGACCTTTGGAGAGAGAGGTGAAGTAACTTGCTCTAGATCACACAGCTGGTGGATGGCAGAGATAGGATTTGTGCCTGGGTCTGTATGACTCTGAAGTTGGAGCTTTAATCCACCATACTTTACTGCTTTCCCAGATAATAATACTAGCCTATACTGCCACTTCGCAAACACTGGAAGTTTGAAAAAATAGACCAGGTAGAGTTTTTTCTTCTTTAACTCTCCCATTCTCTCTCCTTCCAGTGAAAAGAAACGTGAATTCTCAATGGTGAGTCCAAGCCAGAACTGACCCTTGTAAGGCTGTAACTGGAAAACCAGTCCTTTGAAGGTAGAGATAGATTGCTTCATGTGTGTGGTTCTTGAAGTTCTGCCATTTTTTTTTTTTTACTCAGAGTTTTGCTCTTGTTGCCCAGACTGGAATGCAACGGAGTGATCTCAGCTCACCACAACCTTCACCTCCCAGGTTCAAGTGATTCTCCTGCCTCAGCCTCTCAAGTAGCTTGGATTACAGGCATGCGCCACCACGCTTGGCTAATTTTGTATTTTTAGTAGAGGCAGGGTTTCTCCATGTTGGTCAGACTGGTTTTGAACTCCTGACCTCAGGTAATCCACCCGCCTCAGCCTCCCAAAGTGCTGAGATTACAAGTGTGAGCCATGGCGCCTGGCCTAGAGCGTTCTGCCTTTATTCAAACTCATAATGAGAATGTCTGGCATGTCTAGTTCTGCATTAAGATACATGCCTTTAGGTCATAATGAGAAATCTTCCCAAGCTTCATCAATCTTGATAGGAATCCAGGGGGATAACCATTATGTACCTATGAAGTTCTCAGTAGCTCATGAGCCCACTTTAGTTTAACTCAGCAGAGGCAAATTTCTCAATATGTGATAGGCCATACATATTCACATATATGTACTCCAGAGGCACTGATCATAAGATCCTTCTGGAACAGGATTATAGATTGGTATAGATAGGTCCAACCATGTAATAAATTACATTAATGTAGTAGAAAAACAATGGGGTTGGGTATCTGAAGATGTCTCTGTAATTAATATGAGACCTTGAACACATCACTTTATCTCTCTAGACTTTTATTTCCTTATCTTCTGAAAAAAGTGTTGGAATTAATCTCTTATCTGCCTGCCATATAGCTGTCTTGATTGACATAAGGTTACTTGGTCTTTGGAAAAATATCAGTCAGTTCACTTCTGAAACACTAGTTACTTCATGCTGCACAGAAGCCTGGATGATTAGTTATTTACTAACTGAAGTAGGAAAACAAATTGTTCATAGTCAGTATAGTTGGTTTGTTGACATTATATCTGAGAATGTAAATGTGAATTCATGGGAAAAATAATATAAGGCGTCTTTGATCATGAAGAGTTGGATTCATTTTCTATTCCCTTTCAGAAGGCATGAGCCTTCTCTTCAGTCTTCTCATGGCTGACTTCATTTCCTGGTTCCTCAGAGTGTAGATCAAAGGGTTCAGCAGAGGGGAGATGACAGTGAAGGTGACAGAGAGGGCCTTATCTGTGGGGAGGGCCGTGAAGGGCCGGGCGTAGACATAGATGCAGGGCACGAAATGTAGGGTCACCACAGTGATGTGGGAAGTGCATGTGGAGATGGCTTTCCTCCTGGCCTCTCCTGCCTGAGACCTTAGCATCATTAGGATGACTGTGTAGGACACAAGCAGGAAGATAAACCACAGGGTAGTGACTAGGCCATTGTTTGAAATAATCAGGAGCTCAAGAGCAAAAGTGTCAGTGCAGGCGAGTTTGAGGACCTGGGGGACATCGCAGTAGAAAGTGTCAAGAACATTGGGTCCACAGAAAGGGAGGGGCAGCAGCAGGGAGATCTGCACAATGGAGTGGACAAAGCCCCCCACCCAGGAGGCCGTGATGAGGGCAGTGCATCGTCCCCTACCCATGATGGTCACATAGCGCAGGGGCTTGGAGATGGCCATGTAGCGGTCAAACGCCATTACAGAGAGAGAAAAAATGTCTGCCCCACCAAGGAGGTGGAAGAGAAATATCTGTGTCATGCAGCTTGTGTAAGATATGGTCTTTTTCTTTGACAGAAGGTCCAGCAAGACTTTAGGAGCAGTTATCGAGGAGAAGCAGATGTCAAGGATGGCTAGATTGCGGAGCAGGAAGTACATGGGCGTGTGAAGGCGAGACTCACAGGTCACAGTGATCATGATGAGGAGGTTTCCCAGCAGAGTCGTCATGTACATAAGACATAAAAAAAGAAACAAGACCAAGCTTAGGTCCTGGGATTGAGTAAGTCCCAGAAATATAAATTCTTTTACTCTGGTGCCATTTCCCAACTCCATTGAATCATGTTTTCTCTTTCTTGAAGATCTTGGAAAAAAGAGTTATTTCAGAAAGTGTTTACTCCCTCTTAACAGGTTCAAGTACTGGGTCTGAAAACTTGTGAGGTATTATCACCACATGAATTGCAATTTCAAGGTTATTCCCAATGCGTCTAAAATGACATCTTATTATACAATCATGCATACACTTATGCAAATTACATTTTAAAAAAATGCATAAAAATGCATAAAAATGATGTTCCAGTTATTCAAGATACTAAGAACATTATTCAAGATAAACAGAGGGGGATATTAACTATTCAGAAAGAGACTATTGTGGCATGGGGAATATAAACATGGGCTTAGTTTGTTGTGTGAGTAAGGCAGTGCTTATTTTGTGTGTCTAGAACACCTTGAATTTCACAGGATTTTGGCTTTTTTTCCCCAGACTGGATGCTCCATTTAAATGGTTCTAAGAACCTCTGTCTGCAAAATGCCCCACCCCCTATTGGATTGAATTGTACATAAGCAGCATTTAAATCGCAAACTTAGTTCCATGAAAAATTAGGAAATTTTTAAGCCATAAAATTTGTCTCTATTATTTTATTCTTCTTTAAGGGGACTTCTTTGTTTCTTTCTTTGCTTTAATCTACTTTAGGTACTGAAACCCCTGGGAGGTGAACAGCTCCTTAGCTATGGAAATAAAAATATTACAGTACTCAGAGCTTCTCTTGTGTTGTTTCAACTTTACTCTTAAGAAAGAATTTTTGTTGAGCTACCATTGACATACCATAGACTGCACATATTTGAGTTCACACTTCGATAAGTTTTGACATAGTATATACCTGTGACACCATCTCTGTAGTTAAGAGAGTGAATACATCTATCACCCAGAAAATGTCCTTATGCCCCTTTGTAACCTGTCCCCTCCACCCTTCCTTCTTCAGGCAACCACAGATCTGCTTGCTGTCATTATACACTGTTTGTATTTTCTACAATATTCTATAAGTGAAATTCTACTGTATGTGTTTTTCTCTTGTCTGCCTTCTTTCAGCCATGAAATTCATCCATTGTTTTGTGTGTACTGCTATTTTGTTCCTTTTTATTGTATGAATATATCACTGTTTGCTTATCCATTCACTTGTAGGTGAACACTTGGGTTATTTGTGGCTTTTGAATATTAACCATGAAGCTGCTATGAACATTCATCTTTGGGTCTTTGTGTGGACATATGTTTTCAGTTCTCTTGGGTAAGTAGCTAGGAGTGGGATGGCTGTAACTCTTAATATTCAATAATAAGAGAACAAACAACCCAATTAAGCAACAAGGACAAATAATTTAAAAAAAATGAAGTCACTAAAAGAAGTTAAGAAAAAAAGAAGAGAAAAAAGGACAAATTATTTGAACAGACACTTCAGCAAGAAGACACAGAGATAGGAAATAAGCACAGAAAAAGCTTCAACATGATTTATCACGGAGAAACTATAAATTAAAACAACTGTAATTAAAAAATAGTATACATTAGAATTACTAAAATGAAAAAGACTGATATATCAAGAGTGGACAAAGATGTAGAGGAATGGAACTCCAGTGGTAATGTAAAATGGCATAATCACTTTTGAAAACAGTTTGGCTTTTTTTTTTTTTTTTTTTTGAGACAAAGTTTTTTTTTTTTTTTTTTTTTTTTTTTTTTTTTTTTTTTTTTTTTTTTTTTTTTTTTTTTTTTTTTTTTTTTTTTTTTTTTTTTTTTTTTTTTTTGAGACAGACTTTTGCTCTGTTGCCCAGGCTGGAGTGCAGTGGCACGATCTAGGCTCATTGCAACCTCCGCCTCCCAGGTTCAAGTGATTCTCCCACCTCAGCCTCCCAAGTAGCTGGGGTTACAGCACGCAGCACCATGCCTGACTAATTTTTTATTTTAAGTAGAGGTGGGATTCACCACGTTGGGCAGGGTGGTCTTGAACTTCTGATCTCAGGTGATCCACCTGCCTTGGCCTCCCAGAGTGCCTGGATTATAGGCATGAGCCACTGCACCTGGCAGGCAGTATTTTTTAAACTGTTACACATATACTTACCTTATAATTGTGCTGCTTTTGAATTTCTTTCTTTCTTTATTTTTTTTTTTTGGTAATTCTTTGAAATGGGCCTTGTTTTCTTTCTTCCTACTTTATCTCCTTTTTCTTTCCATAATCAAAAACAAAAGAAGGGCAAAAGTCCCATTCTTCCCGTTTTTTGGGTATGTTCTCCAATGTAAATGAAGATGTTTCTCATCTCACTTTGACTTCAAGTTTTCTTCCATCTATATGCAGTCTAAATAACAAGCTGCCAAGAAGTATTCTACCTTCGAGGTAGATGCCTGGTGGACTCTGGCACCACACAGCCTATTCAAAGCCCAGCTGAGTACTTACTGGCTGAGCCAACAAGCACAAGTTGCTTCACCCCGTGACCTCGTTCTCTGCATCAGTAATTTGGAGACAATAGCATCTCCTTCATAAGACTTTTGTGAGGGTTAAATAAATTAATTATGTGGAGCATCTGTACTTAGAACATTGCCTAATCTGTAATAAGTATAATTATATGTGTGCTACCTTAAAGACAAGTGCAGGTTAATAATTCCCACACACAACTTCTTCAATAAATATATTGCCAATATTTCGGGAATTTATTTATTGGCAATAAATATATTGCCAATATTTATGGACTTTTAGAGGAGCTGCATGTTTTCCACATGTGTGTCCTTAACCACTTCATGAGAACATTAACTGTTTTGAAGGAATTAGGAGATACTTGCCTTCCAGTGACCCAGAGGGTAGTGATGGCATAGGAGAGCAAAAAAAGCACTTGTTTGGTTTGGCTTCTTCTCTGACATATTATTAGCAGACCAGAGAAATTGCTCAGTGCAAGGGCTCTGGGATTGAGAGTCATCTGGGTTTAAGTCCTGGCTTTGCCACTGTGTGATTTGGGCAAGTGCATGACTCCATTGAGCCTCTACTTCTCCATCTGTGGCATGGGGATGATAATAATACCCAGTTCACAGGGAAGTTGTGAGGGTTGAAGAATTAACATGTGTAAACTTCTCAGCATATGGGCTGGTTATCTGTCATGATTAGTGCTATGCTGAGGAACCCTAACAGTGGAGCCTCATCAGTAAATGGAATGTATTGAACTAAACGGTAGATATCAATCCTGATTCGCTTAAAAAGAGAGGAAATGGTCACTAGGAACACCAACTCAGTATAGTTTCTAGAGATGTTGATGAAAACCAATGTAGTTATTAAGGTCTTCAAGGGGACTCCCATGTAAACGCCACACTGTTTACATACAAAGAGGTGGAAGGTAGACCATATCCCAGACCCCATGCCAGGCCTATTGGTCGGAAAGAAATAGGTCTCATGTTCTCAAACTGCCTTTGGTAATTTAAAGGAAACATCTGCTACTTTTAATCCATCCAATTATTTAGCAACTATTGATGGAATATGGGAAAAGTTCTAGGTTATTTGAGAGAAAGGCATATAATCTAAACACTGTGTGAAAAGCATTGAAATCCATTATGTGGGAGTGATGGGGACCATCTGAGGATAGATGAAGAGCTGAGTGTGAGTAGAGGATGATTTCCAACTAAGAGGCTCAGCGAAGCTGTATGGAGGAAGTGGCATTTATGTTTGGGACATATAGGAACAGGGAGAAAGGATCTTCTGGCCTTAGGGGACTATTTAAACATGTGAAGTTTGCTTATGAGTGGGAAGTTTGGCTGGAAAGTAAGGGTGCAATCATGACAGCATGGAAAGACAGAGAAAAGAAAATCGCTGCTATTGTAAAGTCCCAGAAAACAATACCCAATAATGAAGGCCTCGGAAGCAGCCTCCGAAGTACAAGTTTCTCTCTGACCTCCTCCTGCTGTCCTGTGTCAGGTCTCTGGCTCTTCATTCTTCCCCAAGGTTAGCTGTAGAAACTACAATACTTCTTCCCTAAGGCATATCGTGGAAACCAGAACCTTTTTTCTCCAAAACCAGCCATAAAACCTAAAGATATTCCTCTAACTTCCCCATTACTCTGCCTTTCTGTGTAAGAGTTGGCCAGAAATAAATTCTCAGGTCTACTTTGTTTGATCGTAGATCTTAAGAACTCCATTCCAGAGAGAAAGAGCAAGCACTACCTCATACCCAGGAGGAAGGAATTGCTGCACAGAGAGGCCAAACAGGATCTAAACAGTCAGGCCGTGCTGGGTTTCCATTGTCCATTAGCATTAGATCATACCATTTTTTTAAATTTTAAATTTCAATTTTTATGGAGCGTTTCATGAATTTGTGTGCCATCCTCGTAAAGGGGCCATGTTAATCTCTGCTGTATTTTCCTGATTTTAGTATATATCTGCTGCCAAAGCAAGTGATCATACCTTTTTTGTCCAATCGTATTTCTACATGGCTGTCCATATTTTGTTGGACCTAAACATAGAAATGAACATTTTCCTTGTACCTTTGGGTCTTCATTCTGAAGCCTCCCATGTCATGTAAAACTATGATCAAATACATTTGTATTTCTTTTCTCCTAATCGTCTGCCTTTTGTCCACTGATTTTCAGCGAACTTTCAGAGGGTGAAGGGGAAGTTTTCTCCTGTTGTCTACACTATAAACTACTTATGTTTGTGTTAGATCTAAAGAAGAGTAGACAGGTGTTTGTTGTCTGAGTCTTTAAACTTTTGTGAGTGTTCAAAATACTTTATGTATTACTGTATGTTTAAATTCAGGCTAAGAATTACCTCTGTTGATTTCAGCCTGAGAAGATCCATCTATAGAAATGAAGACTGAGAAAAATCTCTTCTCTGTACCATTCAAGAGGTCTCAGAGGGCAAAAGCTGCCTTTCCCCCAATTCCAAACTGACCTCAATTCTCTTTCTCATTTCACAATGTACTCTTTGTTAGTATTTCTAACTTATGCTGTTACTAAAGGAAGGATCTCCCCAGAATGCAGCATCTTGTAATAATGTATAAATATTACATTATTTATATTCACAGTGTGCTTGTGAATCTTAATAATTACACCTAGATTTCAATTTTTCTTATCCTTATTTTCTCACTCTATGCATAAACATCCAGACACCGGCGCGCATGCACACACACACACACACACACACACACACACACACACTTTGATTTTTTTTACCTAAAATCTGCAACCTTCTTCCAAGAACTCCAACATTTTAAATAATGTTCACATGAACCTTGGGAATCATACAACTTCGGAAAACTCTGCTCAACACCCCTCCGAAGACCAGTTATTTCAATGGTGTCTCTTCTATCTTAATGTGGAGAGGACTTGGGAATAATATTTTCTTGACTCTTTCACACTGATTCACAGTGTCCAGTCATATTTACCAGTTCCTTAATCCCAGAACTAGTGTGAGAATTATCAGAGGGATTTTAGTTGGATGTGGTTGTGGAAAAATTCTGCTGACGGTGAGGTTGTTTCAGGGGGAATAATTAAGAA